GAGCCAAAGATTGTCTACTCTGAGTGGCAGATTTCCAGTGCATCAAGCTAGAACTTTCCCTGACTGACACAAGAAACCTTTCAATTTGAAATGGCAGAGTTGGGCCAGGTTTTAATCTGTTAGAATTCATGAATTATAGGACTATATTGAAAGAAGACTATAGAAAAAGGGCAGAGGAGAGCAACCAGGGTGGTTAGGGGACTGGAGACTAAAACATATGAAGAACGGTTACAGGAACTGGGCATGGCTAGTCTAGTGAAGAGAAGGACCAGGGGAGACATGATAGCAGTCTTCCAATATTTGAGGGGCTGCCACGGAGAGGAGGGGGTCAAGCTATTCTCCAAAGTACCTGAAGGCCAGACTAGGAATAATGGATGGAAAGTGATCAAGGAGAGATTCAACCTAGAAATAAGGAACTTTCTGACAGTGAGAACAATCAACCCATGGAACAGCTTTGCCTTCAGAAGTCACGGGAGCTTCATCACTTGAGACTTTCAAGAAGAGACTGGACTGCCATTTGTCACAAATGGTGTAGGGTCTCCTGCTTGAGCGGGGGGTTGGACTAGATGACCTATAAGGTCCCTTCCAACTCTGTTAATCTGTTAAAGAATTGATCTCATCAATCCGCATGGCTGACATAAGTACAGAAGCAATTATGAAACAAGGGGCAATTTTTTTTAGTTTTAGATGAGGTATGTGTGTCCTATAGAGAGAGCATCAGGAGTATAAAAGGCATTTCCTGTTCTGTGAGAGAAAACAAGTACAGGTAGTCCTTCACTTACAACCATAATTGAGCCCAACATTTATGTTGTTAAGTGAGTTTTGCCCCATTTTATGACCTTTCTTGCCGTAGTTGTTAAGAGAATCACTGCAGTTGATAAGTTAGCAACTCGATTGTTAACCAAATCTGGCTTCCCCACTGACTTTGCTTGTCAAAAGGTTGCAAAAGATGCTCACATGACCTTGGGCCAGAGGTGGTATTCAGCCGGTTCGGACCGGTTCTGGAGAACCGGTAGTGGAAATTTTGAGTAGTTTGGAGAACTGGCAAATGCCACCTCTGGCTGGCCCTCCCCTCATCTATTCTCTGCCTCCCGACTTCCAGCTGATCATCTGGGTCTTCTTTTGTTGCCCTGAACAGGAGAACGGAGCTGGAAAGCAGGTTAGTGTGGAGTGGAGGGAATGGGAATTTTACAGTATCCTTCCTACCAAGCCACACCCACAGAACCGGTAGTAAAAAAATTTGAATCCCACCACTGCCTTGGGACACAACAATGGTCATAAGTTGAACCAGTTGCCAAGCATCTGAATTTTGATTATATGATCATGGGGATGTTACAAAAGTTGTGTGAACAATGGTCATGTCACTTTTTTCAGTAGCATTGTAACTTTGAATGTCACTAAATGAATTGTTTTAAGTTGAGGACTACCTGTAAAGTTTTCCTCTTCACGATTACCGCTTGCTGCTCCCAATTGTATAATTCATAACTTTTCCATTAATTGAAGAAACATGACAAGCTTAGCTTTCACCGACTTGGAAAACGACGTTATTAACTATTATTTTTTAAAATCAGCATAATATTCTCTGTCACACGGTTCGAGAGGCAGAAGGAACCCTGGATCAGGAACAGAGGTGAGTTCCTACCAGTTCGGACTGAATAGGTAGTAACGTGGCCTGCCATGCCCCCGAACCGGTTCTCTCGGTGGCACCATAGGCACCGCCATCTTGTTTTTGGCTTCTGCACATGCGCAGAAGCATTTTTTTAAATACTGTGCATGCGCGCATCAAGGGTGTGCACATGCAAAGTGCACACATGCACACAATGCATCCCTGAGCGAACCAGCAGTAGCAGCAGCCAGAAACCCACCCCTGATCAGGAAGAATGTCAGAAGAATAACAGCTGTCAATCGTCGAGTAGTTATCATGTGGAGTGGTTTCTTCCCCTTCACGGGAGGCTTTCAAACTGAGGATGATGTAGTGAATCCTGCAGTGAGCATGGAGTTGAACTTGATGACCTCTTAGGTCCCTTTCAACTCTACAATTCTAACCAGCGTTCAGTTCAAAGGAGGTCACTATTTCCAATTCAATCTTAGAACATATAAAAAAGTATGTATGTATATTTGAGAGGGGTGGCATTCAGAAATCCACAAATCACATTTCTGGTCATTTATATGGTGAGTGTTTGAAGTTATCTTTATGTTTGTATTTTTCATAAATGATTAATCACACTGCCACTGTCTTGTATGTACTGAACTGTATTCATTATACAGTCAAGATCTTGACACTATTTTTAAACTGTAGATTCATTGCTGGTTTGATGTTTAGACTTTATTTTCCTCGATTCTTTAATCTTTAATAAAAAAAAAATCTAACAAAGGGCTCTGAAAAACAAAGAGGTTTATTAGCGAAGATGCAGAAGTGTGACATGATAATTATCCAGGACCTATTGAAAGGTTTAATACCAGTCAGACTGAATGCATTTCTTGGGTGCAGATGTCCTGGTACATCCATAATCTCCAACACTGGAAGTTTTTAAGAAGAAGTTGGACAACCATTTGTCTGAAATGGTACAGTTTCCTGCCTGAGCATGAGGTTGGACTAGAGGACCTCAACGGTCCCTTCCAACTCTGTTATTCTATGCTGTGCTGTGCTGTGCTGTTCTATTCTATTCTGTCTCTCCTGAATGGAGATGAGAAATGTGTGTCCCTCGTGATGTTCTTGGACTGCAGTAACTGTTGCCCCTCACCATTGACCATGCCAACTGAGGTTGCTGGGTTGAAAATTCAGCAATATTTAGAGAGCCAGAAGATGCTCCTCCATGCACCAGAGGGAATCTCATTCCTGAGAGATCAGATATACTCCAGCTTCAGCAACCTCTATGACCTTCATCCCATTTCAATTCCTACAGATCAGACTCCCCCCCCCCCCCCGGCGCTTCATCGTTGATGGTGCTCTTGAATTTAGCTCACCCTTCCTGCCTTTTCCCTGGACTGATCAGGGAAAGATATTTACCTTTGAAACCTGATCTTAAAAATTATTTAAGAAAGGAAAAATTGACTTCTGAATAGAGACGGTTGAGACTCCCGGGTCTCTGGAGTTTAACCTTGTTTCTGTCACATTGGGATGAGTCCTTAAAGCAGCACAGCTAGTCCTTGACGTACGGCCACAATTGAGCCCAAATTTACATCGTTGAGTGAGAAATTTGTTAAGTGAAGTTTGGCTCCCATTTGCTTGCCACTTTTGTTAAGTGAATCCCTGCCATTATTAAATTATTAACACGGTTGCTAAGTGAATCTGGCTTCTCCATTGACTTCGCTTGTCCGAAGGTCGCAAAAGGGGATCCCATGACCCCGGGACACTGCGGCTATCCTAAGTAAGTACAAGTCGGAGCCAAGCATCCGAATTTTATTCACGTGACTGTGAGGGATGCTGCAATGGTCATAAGGGTGGGAAATGGTCACAAGTCACTTTTTCCAGTGCCGCTGGGACTTCGAATGGTCTCTAAAGAAACTGTTGTAAATCAAGGGCTACCTGTAATCCCCATCTAATGCAGGACTGCAGTTCCCATTAGGCTGGCATTGGGTTATAGCCCAAGAGCAGTGGCGAATTAAGACTCAGTGGTGCCCTAAGCATTGACAAATCTCGATACCCCTTCTTTGTACATACTGTACAAATCTTCATCGGGTTTTTTTTCTTTCTCAACTTTGTGGTTCCCCCTTTGGGCCTGGTGCCCTAAGCAGATGCTTAGCTTGCTTAATGGTTAATACACCACTGCCCAAGGGGCATCACTTCCATCAGGGTCAGCTTGGAGAATGGGGGAACTCAAACGGCTGAAGGATCCCCCACCTTCCTTCCAAAGCTGGAAGAAGAGGGGGGAGATGAAAAGAACAACCAGCAGGATCCCCCCCTCCTCACCAGCCGCACGGTCCCGTCCCCCCGTCCCCCTTGCCTCCCCGAGGAAATTCCTCTTCCAGTGCCTATTGCTGGATGAACAAGCTGGCTAGGAACAGCTGCGGAGGTGCGTGTGTGTGTGGGGGTCTCCCCCTCCGTCCCTCCCTCCTTGTCTTCCGCCTTCCTTCTGCGCCTCTCTCCGCCGCGGCTTCTTTTTTTTTGGTGGTGCCGGTGGGAATCCTCCGCGTGGGGAAATCTCTCGCCTGGGCTGCAAAGACCCAACCGTTCAACCGAGGGCAAACGTTCTGACAACCGAAGAGAAAACGAGGATAGTTTGCTGGCCTCTAGCGGCCGTCCGTATTTTCGCAAAGCCACAAAAGATCGGCAAAGGGGAAGCCGGCTCGCGCTGCCCTCCGCCCTCGCCTCCCCGTCCGCCGCCACAGCCTCAGTCGCCCGGGGGGAGAGAGAGGGGGGGGGGAGAGAAACAGAAACCGGCCGGTGGCCTCCGGCTCCCTCGACCTGCGTGCTGGGCGCATGTGCGTGGAGCTGCCTCTCCTCCTCCTTCTGCTCCTCCTCCCACATCCCCTTCCTTTGGGAAGCTGCCCCGGCGCTCGCTTGCTCGCTCGCTCGCTTCCTTCCCCACCTTCATTTTCCTACCGCTCCAAGATTTCCTCCTCCCGGGGGAGGAGGGTGTCCCGGCGCGCGCGCGCGCGCTCTCTCGCTCGCTCGTTCGCTCTTTTGCACCGCGGGCGCGAGCCTCGGCCAGGCGAGCGAAGAGACAAGCGAGCGAGCGACCGAGCGGGGCGGACGGGAGATCCAGCGATCCAGCGAGCAGGAGCCGAGGTAGCGGGAGCGGCGGCGGCGGCGGCGGCGGCGGCGGCCAAGATGGAGTCGCGGCTGAACCTGCAGAGAGCGAGCCAGCGCCTCTAAAAGGGCTCCCGGCCCGCCGCCGCCTTAACAGGCCCGGGGCCCCATGGCCTGGCCCCTCGCAGGGCCCCCTTGGGTTCTCCCTCGGCCGGTGCCGCGGGGCTCCCGCAACTAAAGCCGCCCTTCCGCCAAGGGGGTAAAGAAAGCGCCGGGACGGCCGCCGGTGTGCGCCCGCCTTCTCCGTTTCAGCGCCCGCCGGGGCTCCCGGCGCTGCCGGCACGATGCTGCCGTCGCAGGAGGCCTCCAAGCTGTACCATGACAACTACATGCGGAACTCGCGGGCCATCGGCGTCCTCTGGGCCATCTTCACCATCTGCTTCGCCATCATCAACGTGGTGGTCTTCATCCAGCCTTACTGGATCGGCGACAGCGTCAGCACGCCCAAGCCGGGCTATTTCGGCCTCTTCCACTACTGTGTGGGCAACGAAGGCAACAACCGGGAACTCACCTGCCAGGGCTCCTTCGCCGACTTCCGCAGCATCCCCTCCGGCGCCTTCAAGGCCGCCTCCTTCTTCGTGCTGCTCTCCATGGTGCTGATCTTGGGCTGCATCACTTGCTTCGCCCTCTTCTTCTTCTGCAACACGGCCACGGTCTACAAGATCTGTGCTTGGATGCAGCTACTGGCAGGTACGGCAACGGGGGGACCGTTTCCTTCCCTCCACCCCACTCCCTCCCCAACTTGGCAAAAAAGGGGGGGAAAGATCTTTCCACCGAACCTTGTACCCATTCTTCCCCCCAATAACAACAGGAACCGAAATAGGAAAGGAGAAAGCAGAGGCTAAAGAGAATGAGTGGGAGGACGTCCCTGCTTAGAAGGGAGAACTGAAAAAAAAAGGCGGGGGACACAAGAATTGAGCTGAACAGCCAATGTAACGGGATGTAATGATTTTTTTTAAAGGTGGAAGACCTTCAATGAATAACTATTTGGCTGCATTGGGGGCAGAAAGAAAGGCCCATACATTGTATTTTCAAAGTAGGAGGCTTGATAATAGAATAGATACTCTTGTGCGGTGTCTCTTAACCATTTGTGAAAAATTTGAGAAGGCCCCTTAAAATAAACATAAACTATGATTGACATTCTGTAGCCAACTGGTAGACAATTTCATTCTCTTTTAGGTAAGTTGCACTTCATTTACCATGAAGCCATCCAACATGATCAATGGCAAGGGGATGTGGGGAACTGAGGTCCAAAACATCTGGGAGGGAGTCAAACTCTTCTGAGCCTATAAAATTCCTGTCCTGTTAAATCAAATGAGTGACAGCTCCAGATAGCCTTGGCTTGTTGTTTAGTTTAGTTTGTGTAATGTTTGTGACAGTTCTAGGAGTCACAGAGATGTGTGTTTTAGGGGTGTGTGGGGTTGTGCAGCATATGAATGGTTTGTGTGTGACTCCCATCAAAGTATTTTTTGACATTGGTGTATCTGGGATTGGTTTGGTGACAAATGAAACACTGATATATCCAAATCTTTTTTACAAATAGGTTGCAGAAACAGTTTTTAGCTCAAATAGTAAATAAATTGTACTTATTTATTCAATTAAAAGTTAACATAAATAAAAAGTATCATCATCATTAGTTTTAACCAGATTAAAAATCAGATTTTTAAAAAGTTAAAAGACCAAAGTCTTTTGGGAGGGAGTCAGGTACAGGAACTGATAGATTGGTCAAGCGTTTAGCTTCTGTCCATGGTACTGAAAGCCCAAGAGATTGACATGTGCTTAACCAGAACACTTAAAGACCCAGTACCTTCATTTATACAAGATACTAAACTTGGTTAACTTTAACCTTGGTCAGTTGTCTGTGGCATAGTGTGTTATGCAAGTCCAGTAAATTTCTTTATATTTCAACCTATTGTGCAAACCCAGGTAATGGAAGAATTATATTGCCAAATTAAGTACATTGTGTGAACTCTCCTGAAGAATGTGAATGCTCAGGAAAACTATGGAAGGTAGAAAAATAATAAAAGACAAGGATTCAGTTTTTCAACTTTAAAGGAAGTAAGACAGACAAAAGTTACGGTATAAAGATGCATACAGTATTGGAATAAAGCTGTTGTCTGAAACTGTGGGAGATTTTAGCAGATATATGATGAAAATAAGGACTAACAAGATATATCTCCAATAAAATGAACATGGAAAGTTTACCTTCTCGTTATAAAGGCATTTTTAAATCTATGCAGTGGGCTCAAATCCAACCGCTGGAGTTGCTTAAGGAAGAAAGACTTGAATCCCAAATGAGCTAAGCTGCCAAGCTCAGCATAGAGGCATAAAGTGGTGAATTAATGTCCGATCAGCAGAAAGCAGACGATCTAAAAAGAACTAATGGATCAATAAAAAGGCTTTCTGGGGTCTGAATTAAACTTCATTAAGTCTGGGAAAGGGGCCATGATGACTAGGACTTCTCTTCGGACTGGCTATTTTGTAAGTGATGGAAAAATGCAGGTACTAATGCTAGTTTGCAGTTCTTCCAAGCTGATTTTCTCTGATTTGATGTCTTCCAGATGCTAGCTAAGATTCTAGGCGTTGAGGTCTACCACATTTGAAGAGCATCAAGTTGAGAAAGACTGCTAGGTGCTAGGAAAAAAACCTAATGACAGATATTATGTAAAGCCAGAGAATTAAATGGGGCCATAGGGGCATCACAGGGATACTGTGGTAGAATGTAGTCTGGATTCCCAGGAGGGAGGGAGGGGCTGCACTCCAAAGGACCAAGAGATAATGAAGTGAAGATAGTTTAGTTAGACGAAAGAAAGTTAAGATGGCTCCCCATAGTAGTTCTCAGAGTATCTCTCCATTGATGCAAGTAGTTGCTTTAATTTGGCAATGTTTCTGTCTATAGGTGAGGAACAATACAGAAAAATGGAAATAACTCTATTTGTCAGGCTCTTGGGGGACTCGTGGAGCCTGACAAATATAGAAATTATAGTCCTCTAAATGTTACTGACTTGCAATTTCAGAAATTCTTGTTGTTTGTTTGTTGTTAGTTGCAAGGTCGTGTCTGACCCATCGCGCTCCCATGGACAATGTTCCTCCACGCCTTCCTGTCCTCTTCCATCCTCTGGAGTCCATTTAAGCTCACGCCTACTGCTTCAGTGACTCCATCCAGCCACCTCATTCTGTTGTCCCCTTCTTCTTTTGCCTACAGTCTTCCCCAGCATTAGGCTCTTCTCCAGTGAGTCCTTCCTTCTCATTAAGTGGTCAAAGTATTTGAGTTTCCTCTTCAGGATCTGGCCTTCTAAAGAGCAATCAGGGTTGATCTTCTCTAGGACTGACCGGTTTGATCACCTTGCAGTCCAAGGGACTCACAGAGTCTTCTCCAGCACCATAGTTCAAAGGTCTCACTTCTATGGCACTCAGCATGGTCGAAATTTCACAGCCATCCATTGCAATTGGGAAAACCATAGCCTTGACTATACACACTTTTGTTGGCAGGGTGATGTCTCTGCTTTTTAGTATGCAGTCTCAATTTGCAAATATTTTGAAGATAGCGGGGTGCAGGGAGTGTTTCATAGTACAAAGTACATTTTTATACCTGCGGGAGATACCATTACCATTTTATGGGCTTTGATGATACAGTTAATCAAATAGTTAAACACATTCTTTCAAAATAGAGCTATGAAGCATAAGATGCCCACCAGGTGACAGAACATTTAGAACTTTCTGTATCTCTTTACTGCCATCTAATGCTGTAATACAGGTAGTCCTCGACTTAACAACAGTTTATTTAGCAAAGTCAATGGGGACGCCAGATTCATTTAACAATTCTGTTATTAATTTAACAACGCCAGTGATTCAGTTAACAACAAGTATGGCAAGAAAGGTCGTAAAGTGGGGCAAAATTCACTTAACAGCTGTCTCGCTTAATAACAGAAATTTTAGGCTCAATTGTAAATTGAGGACTATCTATACAATTTTAATCTGATAATTCTGTTTCTGAATACATTAACACATAATTTGTCAACTGCCTTGTCAGTTGACATGCCTTCTTAAATCAAGACTATACCCAGGGGTGGGTTCCTGCCAGTTCTAACCTCTTCTATAGAAGAGGTTCCACAAATCTACCGTGCCATTTAGAACCTGTTCCAGCTCCCTTCCCCCACCCATCCGCACCATGCTTGCCTCGCCTGCCACTCACTGATTGGCTGGCTCACCAATCGCCCCGCCCGCCTCTAAGAGTCCTATCTAAACCT